AGGACCAACAGGCGGGTTGGTCCAACCGGTCCACTGGACAAACAGGCCAGTTGGTCCAATTGGTCCATTGGACCAAAAGGCGACTTGGTCCAACCCGTCCAAAGGACCAACAGACCAGTTGGTCCAACCGGTCCATTGAACCAACAGGCCAATTGGTCCAACCAGCCCATTGGACCAACAGGCGAGTTGGTCCAACTGGTCCACTAGACCAACAGGCTAGTTGGTCCAACCAGTCCATAGGACCAACAGGCCGGTTGGACCAACCGATCCATAGGACCAACAGGCGAGTTGGTCCAACCGGTCCATAGGACCAATAGGCCAGTTGGTCCAACTGGTCAATTGGACTAACAGGCCAGTTGGCCCAACCCGTCCATTGGACCAACAGGCCAGTTGGTCCAACTCGTCCATAGGACCAACACGTCAGTTGGTCCAGCCGGTCCATTTGACAAACAGGCCAGTTTGTCCAACCGGTCCATTGGACCAACAGACCAGTTGGTCCAACGGGTCCATTGGACCAACAGGCCAATTGGTGCAACCGGTTCATCGGACCAACAAGCCAGCTGGTCCAACCGGTCCACTGGACCAACAGGTCAGGTGGTCCAACCGGTCCATAGGACCAATAGGCTAGTTTGTCCACCCAGTCCACAAGACCAACAGGCTAGTTGGTCCTACCGGTCCACAAGACCAACAGGCTAGTTGGTCCTACCGGTCCAGTGGACCAACAGGCCACATGGTACAATAGGTCCATTGGACCAACAGGCCAGTTGGACCAAAGGCTAGTTGTTGAAAGTTTGTCGTGAGGGGTGGCCGAGCCGCTGATGTCAGAGGTCAGCTTCTGCGCGTACTCCAGGGGTGCGCAGGTATCTTGAGTGGTATGCAGCTGCCTCTACTTCGGTCTCATGAGGGAAGCAGAGTACGTGTCCTTCTTCTTTGCCTGGTTCGGCTTCTTCTTCCTCCTCTGCTTCAGGTTCAGTTGTTGCTTCTCCCTCTGTAGGCGCTGTTGACGGATAGAGCGCGAGGAAGTTGCGATCAGGGATGGTGTTGAGCAGGGTAGTGGTGCCTTTGATGAAGCGGGCGAACGGGTCTGGGTGCGAGAGAGGCCCGTAGGCGTCGCGCGGCGGAGTTGCGGGCACGTTGCCGTGTTCGAGTTCAGACCAGGTGGAGTTCCAGATCTGGGGTGAGCGCGGAGGTGACGGCAGATTTCGCGGAGGTCGCACGAGGGGAACTACGACTCTCCGTGGAGGTTGTGCGGCGGCTCGTTCAGCGGCCATTTCTCTTTCTTCCTCCTCTAGTTCTTCTCGGGTGAGCTCTCCTTCAGTGAGTCCCCAGGCTCCGGTGTTTCCACAGCCTCCTCCGACGGTACCCCAGTCGCTTGCGGTGCCAGAGGCACCAGTTGCTGATCCCCACGTTCCTGTTTCACCTTCTTCGTTGTCTGCAGGGCCCCATCCCCAGCCCTCGGATGGGGTGGCCCTTGCCGAATTTTTGGTTGGGGTGGCCCCAATCCTTGCTTTGCTTTCTCATCTTCCTCCTTGACGCTGAGCTCGTCACGTGCGTCAGGGTCCTTCCAGTCCTTGCACACTTGTCGGTGGATTTCGCGAGTGTAGGGAAGCGGCTGATTCTCCTCGTCAAGAGTGCCTGTCAACGCCTCTTCCAGGACCCAGCGAAGAGCTTCATTTGCGGGACCGTGTCGTTCTTCAGCTTGGACACCAAGCTCCTCTTGTCTGGTGCCGAAGATGCGATGGGAGGTAGTCGAGAGTGCCAGCTCCGTCATACCTTCAGTCGGTGCCTCGGCACTTTCTTCTTCTTCGATTGCCGCTAAGTCTCGTTCAACTTCTTCGGTGCGGCTCGTCGTGGGCGTGAAGCAGGTGGTGCAAATTCCGTCAGGCCCAGGTTGGTGCAGATTGATCTCGTGCGGGTGAGGACTACGCTTGATCTACGGTCTCCTGTCAGGATGTTTCCACGAATCTTCAAACTTGAAGGCAAAGTCCAGAGGAACGAGATCCACAAGCTCGTCCGAAGTTGCTCTGCAATCGGGGATGTCGAAATCGAGCACGTAGACTCCGTTGATGGAGCGCACTCGCCCGAGGTATTTGTGGGTTTCGACGGGTGTGTTGGGAGGAGCGAAGTTGAGGATAAGGTCACGTGTACAACGGTCAGTGGTGAACGTGACTCCACAGTCAGAGAGTTGTCCCGCGGATAGCAGATTGAAGCGCAGGTCCGGCACGTAAAGTACATCATTGAAGGTGATGTGTGTGTTGCTGTCTCGAGCTTGCAGCACGACAATGCCTTGCGCATTTGCTCGTAGCTGGCCGTTGTCGGCGACGGTGACATAAGTAGCGGTGGGAGTGCGGCTGGCATTGGAGATGTAGACCCACCATATGCTGTCCGCAGCAACTGTCCATATACCAGTTGGTGTCGGCGGCGTTGTTGTTTGCGGAGGCAGCGCGAGTCGCTGCGTGACGATGGTTGGTGTGTCCACGATAAGAAAGTTTTCTTCTTCGTGCCATCCCAGAGGAACTGGTCGATGATCATGGCGGTGTGGCGGGCTTTCCCGTAGCTGAATTGGTAGGTGCCAATCTTGGTTGACCTCGTCTTCGTAGTAGTAATGGTTGTCGGTGAAAGGATTGGTGTAACCTTCTTCATGTTGGATGAACTCGCCGGCGGGTTCCTCGTCTTCGTCAAGCGTAGTAGCTCGTGGGCGACGGCGCGGCGCCATGTTTGCAATTACGTTTCTTGCCCCTCCTGTCTGAGGTGCTTGTGCCTGCTGTTGCTGATGTTGTGCAGGTGGGAGGCTGAAACTGACGAGCATCTTGTCGGCCGACCTAGTTGTTTTGGTGAGTAGAATTTGGGTGGCGATTGTTGGACCGGAATCTGCATCGTTCTGTTGAATGTCCGAAGACTTTGCAAATTTTGCAATAATGGCGCCTTGGTTGTCGTCGCTCTTCACGGTTGTCGGCGTAGAAGGTGAGGCGCTCTCGGCGCGGCGCTGGGCTCGTCTTGCTCGATTCCATGTCTTGTTGTTCTGTGAGAAGAGCGGCGCATAGGGCAGCTTCTGAAATTACCCCCCTTTGTCGGAGTAGCGCCTTGCAGGGCTTCCACTCAGGCCCGAGTCCTTGGAGCACGATGTTCGCGTAGATTTCCTCCGAAATTGCGCTTTAATGCTTCGTGATGTGATCACGGGCATTCCGACAGCGATTAATATATGAATTCGCTTTCTCCCCGTGCCCCATCTTGGTCTCCATGAGTTGCTGCAAGAGCCTGCTGGAGGTGACAGAATCCTTCGGCTGATATACCTCAACGAGGTGCTTCCAGGCTTCCAAGGCTGGAGCGGCGCTCTTTTTGTATGAGCGAATGCCGAGTTGCTCCGCGAGCGTCATGTTTCTTAGCAGCACACTGTACGCCATAAGGGACTCGCTGTAGTATTGAGCCCGTGCGTCTTCGATGTCTTCCACCGGTTTAGGATAGGAGCCGTCGAAGTAGTGGTAGATCTGCGCTGTCTTTAGGAGGAGCTCTAGCTCAAAACTCCATGTGTAAAAGTCGTTGCCGTCGAACGCGGCATTTGTCTTGATCTTTGAGACGCTGAGGAAGCGTGCTTGCGCAGAGTTGATAACTTCATCACTAGGACAGGGGGTTGTTGGTGTTGATTTGTCTGTGTTGAGGGAGAAGGTGTGCAAGGCGGTGCCGCGGCCATTTGCCGTCGGTTGAGCAGGTTGTGCTGGTTGCGAGGAGGTTCCGGCATCGCCTTTCCGCAATGCTTGGAGGTCTTTCTCCATAGTTGACAATCGTTGAAACAGCTGCTCGAGTGCAGCGTTACTGATCGTAGTTGTCGCCTCATTTGTCACAGCCGGGTTGGTTTGTCCTTCAGCCGTTAGATTCGCTTGGCCTCCGGATCCTCCGGCCATCTTGGACTTGGAGCGTGTGCCGCTCGCCAGATCTTGGTTCGGCGAATTTTGCGGAAGTAGAGTTGAGAAGAATCCCTGAGTTGCTCTCATACCATGTTACAATCCTAAACACGACTTAGCCAGGGATCGGCTCAGTGTTGATCGCAGGTAGTATTGCAGCGGAAGTGTTGACCTCAGGTCAAAGTGAATGTAAATGACTGAGATTGATAATAGCATGCATACATCGAGTTTATCTAGGGAATACAAAGGAATGCGAAACGACCTAGACTAGCCGTGTACTCTAAGGGGTACATTCCCTTATTACGGCGAATTCAACTTTGCGGCGCGGGAATCCGTTTCAAACTTGAATTCGCCTGTCAATATGCCTGCCAATTAGTATAACTTGGTTTTCAAGTTTACTGACTCTGAACAGTGCTCGATTTCCCGCTAACCTCCACTCAGTATGACTGGTTTTGTCGCTGGCATAATGAGATTGGAAATTCGGTTTTTTTTTTAGGAACCAAGAAAATTCAGGCTTTTTTTTTAGGAACCCTGAAAATTCAGGCTTTTTTTTTAGGAACCCTGAAAATTCAGGCTTTCCTTCACAGGGACCCTGATGCATCAACGTCCCTAAAAGTGAATCTGAGGGCCTGGTGGTAACATGGTTTTTTGCGAATTCAATATTCAAGAATCTTGAAATTGAAAACAGCCATGTGGAACGGGCTTTAAGTTTCATTTCGCAACAAAAAGCATGACCCATCCACGTGCCTCGCAATTTGGGACTCGGGCTTTAAATAGAGCTTCAATTTGGTGTACTTAAAAACAAATTTCATTTTTTTCCCCTTTAATAGACGCATGCGCTTATAAGCTCATTTAGAAGCGCCCCCCCTAAAAAAAATGAATTTTATTATAAGCGCACCTGCGCTACTATTCGGGGTGATACGGGTACCAATTTTACGAGAATAGGACTCGATTGACTTGACTCGTAATAAATGTACAACAAATCCAAAATTGTCTTCTATCCAGTCGATTACGGTTTGCAAACAGCACCTACGTGTCTTTTCAAAGCTCAAATGCGTTTTTTATTTTTTGGAAACGTTAGCCCCATTGGGGCGCTTGTCAAAGGAGGTTCTGCTCCATGCAACCCCCCCCATCCCTGCATGCATCGCATGCACTGCTGGCGTCCCCGCTGGCCACTCGCTGCAGGCAGTGGGTGATGCGCTGCTCCAACACACGCTGGTGCGCTCGCCATGGTGCAGGGGGGCAGCAAGGGGGAGCAGCAAGGGGGAGCAGCAAGGGGGAGCAGCAATGGGGAGCAGCAAGGGGGAGCAGCAAGGGGGAGCAGCAAGGCGGAGCAGCAATGGGGAGCAGCAAGGGGGAGCAGCAAGGGGGAGCAGCAAGGGGGGGCAGCGAGGGGGGCCAGCAAGGGGGGGCAGCGAGGGGGGGCAGCGAGGGGGAGCAGCGAGGGGGGGCAGTGAGGGGGGGCAGCGAGGGGGAGCAGCGAGGGGGGGGCAGCGAGGGGGAGCAGCGAGGGGGGGCAGCGAGGGGGAGCAGCGAGGGGGGGCAGCGAGGGGGAGCAGCGAGGGGGAGCAGTGAGAGGCAGGAGCAAAGGGAAAGAGGGAAAGAGGGGCGGGGGTGAGCGCCGAGACACACCGAAACACTCATACGATTGGCAGTCACATGGCAATGCTATTGAGATGCCAATGGCAGTCAGATGGCAATGGCAATGCTAGTGAGATGGCAATGGCAGTCAGATGGTAATGGCAGTGAGATGGCAATGCTAGTCAGATGGCAATGGCAGTCAGATGGCAGTGGCAGTCAGATGGCAATGGCAGTCAGATGGCAATGGCAGTCAGATGGCAATGCTAGTCAGATGGCAATGGCAGTCAGATGGCAATGGCAGTCAGATGGCAATGGCAGTCAGATGGCAATGGCAGTCAGATGGTAATGGCAGTCAGATGTAAGTATCTCTGCTTCAACACTCATTGTTGTGTGAACGAGAGGGTGGACGGGAGAAGAGAAAGCGGGACGGGGAAGAGGAAGGAAAAAGGAATAGGCCATGAGCGGCACTCACAGCAACGAGTGGATGCACCCCAATGGGCGCGGTGACTATAAAGGGCACTCCGTTGCCGTGCTGCGCTGCTGCCTCTGCTGCCAGCGCCGGGATGTCCTGCCAGGGAAGACGTGGCAGGGAGATGGTGCCAGGGAAGAGATGGTGCCAGGGAAGAGACGGTGCCAGGGAAGAGACGGTGATGGGCAGGGATGCCAAGGTTATGGGCAGGGATGCCAAGGTGATGGGCAGGGATGGAGCAAGGTTCTCAGAACGGTGCGAATGTGTGAATGTGGCACAGCTGCCACGCCACAAGTGCATGAGCCGCTGGGCCACCCCAGGACGCACCCGTTGCCAGTGGCGGCCGGGCGAGAGGAAGTAGGGGCACACGATGACGCCCCTGGCGCCCCTCTGCACGCACCGCGTGAACGCCGCCGCTATCGACGGCTCCGCTATCTCCTGGTCAGGCCGTGGGAGGGGAGCGGTTGACAGGAAGGGATTGTGAGACGAGGGGAACATGGAGAGTTGGAAGGCAAAGCGCTCGCACGGCTGTAGTGCGGCTTCCTGTGTGAGGCAGGAGGCATGTGTGGGTGGCGTGCAGGTGGTGACGCAGATGAGGGCGTGTGGCATGGAGTGGCAGCCGTGCGATGCCATGGGTTTAGTGGAGCGGGAGGCATTGCACATCACATGGATGGAGAGAGTGGGTTCGACACAACAAGTGTGGAAGCGTAGGCTTGTGGAGAGTGCGAAAAGGGGAGAAAGGGCTGTGGACTGCCGAGGGGCCACCTACCATGTGCGCCCCTCACCATGTGCGCCCCTCACCATGTGCGCCCCTCACCATGTGCGCCGGCTCCACGATGGAGTAGCCCGTCTCCTGCTGAAACACCCCCACGAAGACGTCTGGTGGCGACACACCGTGAGGGGCATGGAGGGAGGCGCGAGAGGGAGATTGGCATGAGAGGTGCGGCATGAGAGGTGCGGCATGGGAGGTGCGGCATGGGAGGTGCGGCATGGGAGGTGCTGTGACTTATCCTGAGAGCAGTGTGCGCGAGCAGCGGTGGAGGGGATGCAATGGGATGTCACCCCGTTACAACCAACCCCGAGCATCCCTCCTTGCAGCATCAGTGACCCTCCCTCCCCCTCTCCCTTACTCCCTCCTTTCCTCCCTCCCTTTCCCCCTCTCGTTCCTCCCTCCATCCTTCCCTCCCCTCCTTCATCTCATCCTATACCCAACGTGTCCTCCTAACTGCCCCCCGCCAGCCCCCCACATCCGTGGGGCCCAGTGAAGCGCACCGAGCTGTTGGTTGGACTCGGCGCGCCTTGACCCGTGGTCCACCACCACCACGCCCACCTCCGACCGCCTCAGCGCTGCCACCTCCACCATGCTGCGCTCGTTCCGGGCCTCCAGCGCAGCCTTGAGAGCATCGCTTGGTTCGGCAGCATCACTTGGTTCGGCAGCATGAGGTGGTGGTGGTGTGGGGTGGTGGGCGGGGCTGGCCATGGCGGATGGAGAGAAGCGCCGGTGGCGATGGGTAAAGGTGGCTGCCAGCAACGGCTGTGGACGGATGGGGGAGAGAGTGGGGGACGGTAAGCTAGCCTGCTCCATGCAGCACTACGGCGTGCCATGCACACGCAGGAGTCACCCGAGCGGACCAGCAGCGCCATGGAGGTAAGTCATAGAGCTGTGCCAAGGGTGTGGCGCCACTGGTGTCATTCCCGTAACACCGCATCTCTCCCGCGTGCACGCATACGGCGGGTCGCCTCGATGCACGCACCGCGTCTCAGCGGCGCTGCACAACGGCACGCGCAGCGGCGCCGACCGAACCGAGCCGCGAGGGGGATTGGGATCAGCAGGTCTGGCCCACATGCGAGTGCGCGCGCGCACGGCTCTCACCTGACGGTCCTGAAAGAACGTGCCGCACGCGGCGCGCGATGACGCGAGCGCAACCAAACGACCTTCGCGCTGCGCGTCCGCCGCCCCTCGATGCGTGAGCAGCCGCGAATGGAATGCGCGGAGAGGGCCGGATGAACCCAGCGACGCAACGGACGAGGGGTCGCAAGACGCAAGGGACCTCTTCGCACTGCTGCGAAGGCAGGGCGCGGGACGAATCGCGACGAAAGGCATGGCAGCACGTTTGCTGGGCCACTTCTAGCACTGCGCCCATACCCACTCAATTTACAGAATTACCCGTTCGTGGTAACGTCACAACCCTTACTAGGTTCGGTTCAAAAATACCGTAAAACTGTAGGGGTGCACTATCCTTGTGAAACATGCAGAGCATCACACCAGCTTCTAGATCCCATGATTCTGATTCCGTTTTCTGTTTGAAGCCGGTTGGACGACGCCGGGCTTGTTCGCGATCTTGATCTCGCTTTGGTTGTCTCACAGTAACTTGAATGACCCGTTCATCACGGTCTTCGTTTTCTGCAGGGGCTTCGTCAGGTTAAGTCATTTACAAACTGTTGCGCTTGCGATGATGAACTCAGCTTTTGCTGACGAAAGAGCAATGAGCTCCTGCTTCTGGGAGTTCCATGAGATGGGCCTGGCAGGCTCAATTTTGAAGATAAATCCCATGCGGGGTCTCCTGTTATCAGTATCTCCAGCGTGGTCTGCATCCACATAGCCCGTTGTCTGTAGATTAGCCGTTAAGTTAGCCTTATAGGTTTGGCCAACGTCGGACGTAGAGACGAAGTATTGCAATGCGCGTCGCAAGTCAGCCATATGCTCTCATTCAGGTCGACGCAGGTACAGGGTGAGCTGCCTAGTGGCGTATGTAGGTCCGGCCGGCAAAGACTAGGCAGCAGGGCTAATTTTATCAGTGTAAATCACCCTGATACACTGATTGTTACGATATGGAATTGTTGAATAAACATTCCTGAGTAACGAAACCTTAACGCGAAGATGACTGCAGCGAGGACGAAGACCGAGCGACAAGACAGTTATCAAACGGTTACCGAACCGCGTACGGTTACCGAGTCGCACGGTTTCAATCGTGCACCTAGATTCCCTAAGGGGAATGTACCCCCTCAGAGTACATGGCTAGCTAGGACCTTTCGTATTCCACTGTATTCCTATATAAACCCTTGTACCGCATTGTGTTATTCACTTCTGTCGAGATCTAAATCTCCTTCTACTGACAGAGTCCGTACCCGACATTACCAAGCAATCTTCCGCTGCTACACTACGTGCGATCAACCTGAGACGATCCTATAAGACGGTTCAGATTGTATCATGGTATTAGAGCAACTCAGGATTCTTCGCACCACCACCTTTTGATTCAAATTCAAATTCAAGGTGGCGTCCGGTACGCGCTCCCGCCGAAACATGGCCGGAGGATCTGGCGGACAAACGGCCAACACTGCCGAAGCCCCCGCCAACCCTACCGCGAACTCCGCGGGAACTACCACCGTCAGCAATGCGCTTCTGGAGCAACTCATCCAGCGGATATCCACGCTGGAAACAGGAATTCAACAACTGAAAAATGACAACCCTGAAACCGCTCCGCAACCCGATCAACCGGCTGCTCCAATCAAGGAACAGAGCCCAGCCACCTTCGATCTCGGGTCAAACTCCTCTGCTCCAACAGTTCCACGTCCAAGTGACGAAGCTGCGCTCGCACCTCAGAACAAGTTTCTGACTATCTCCAAGATTCGAACCAGCACCGCTTTTAGCGGGCGAGATTTCTACACCTGGAGTTTCGAGCTCGAGCTACTCCTACAGAACGCGCAAATCTTCTGCTATTTTGACGGTAGCTACGCTGGCCCTACCAGCGACACCGACGACGCAAAGGCTCAGTATTACAACGAGTCCCTCATGGCGTATAGCGTCCTACTTCGGAACATGGCACCAACCGAGCAACTCGGCATTCGCCCCTACAAAACTCATCAAGCCCCCGCCATGGCCGCCTGGAGCTACCTCAACAAAACTTACCAGCCCAAAGACTCCGTGTCGTCTAGCCGTCTGCTCCAGCAACTCATGGAGGTCAAAATGGCACCGGGAGAAAAGGCGAATTCTTACATCAATCGCTGCCGAAGTATTCGCGATCAACTACTAAAACTCGGAAACACCATCTCCGAGGATATGTTCGTCACCATCGTGCTTCGAGGACTAGGACCTCACTGGAATCCCTGAAAGGCGCTTCTTCGCCAACAAGGAATAATATCCGAAGCACATCTCTGCGCAACTCTATTGCACGAGTAGCGCGACATGGATTTCAACCAAGACAAGGGGGTGCGACGCGAACAGATCGCCTTCTACTCCAATCGCGACCAACGAAGGAATCGCGACACACGGCCACGACAATACTACTGCAAGAACTGCAAAATTTTCGGTCACTCCACCGAACACTGCCGATCCGGACCACGACATGCTTCCGCACCGCGCAACAACTCTGCTTACGGCCCTGACCAAATGCGCCAGGCAAACCGACCGTCTTCGGACCATCGCTCTGCCCCGCGCCACCCACAGCAATCAGACATTCAGCGCTCACCCCAGAACAACAACACCACCCGCCACGTCATGGGCAACATGGCGATGCGCATTCCACGTCGCACCCGCCACACAAATCGGCGACATTTGCGACATGTCTCTCCTCCCCCGCCAGGACGTGAAGTGCAATTCAGTGGCTACAACAACCCGTTCACACAAGATGGGGAGTTCGTCTCCGACGAATACGAACAAGATTGGGACCTGCCGATACCTCTGCTGGAGTCACCGCCGCATGACGAAGATTTTCTCAACTCGCCCTCGATTACCGGCTACTATTTCGGGCACAACATCGACACGCGCCCCATGGACAATTACCGCGCCGCTGGAGATCAGCGCATACCGTTCCGAAATACGCCAAACTTGGCACTCTCGGCCCAGCACCGCACGAACTCTTATAACACGTGGTACCTCGACAGCTGCTGTGGGCAGCACATGGTGGGCTCAGAGCGCTACATCTCCAACGCAAGCGCCATCCCCCAACCCACCGTCGTCACCGTGGCCAACAATCAGCAACTCCAAGCACGAGCATGCAGAATCGTCGTCCTCAAGGCGCGCGACAGCGATATCCACATCACACTCAAAGACGTCCTCATCGTCCGCAACCTCCGCTATAATCTCCTCTCCTACGACCAACTCGTGCAGAGCGGGTTACTGATGACGACTGACCTTGAGACACGCGACATTCTCATGCACTGGAAAGACTACAGCAACCTCGACAGCGAACCGCGCTACATCGGCAGAGCTCATTCCGAAGATGGGGTCTACATCCTCGACTTTGACATTCCCGACTGCAGCGCTGATTCAGGGGACCTCATTGACCTTCAGCCTCAAGACATTGTCTGGAACCGTAAACCCAAACACCCAGACGGACGCCCCTGGATCAAGCATCACGCACATCCACGCGAAATCGACCTACACGCACCTGGACCTGATGGTCTCTGCCGCAACTGCCGTACCCCAACTGCCTCCACAACAGACACTACAGGAGAATCCTCCGCAGCAGCAGCACGGCGACTCATGGCCGCAGCAACACAGACTGTGAATGATGGACCTGCCATACAGCCTGCTGGCACGGATATCATTGAGGAAGCAGAGTGGCAGACACCTCAGCCAACTGGCATGCGCGACGGAGAACTTGCAGCAGCAATCACCACCTTCGAACCGCGTAGGACTCGCACCGACCCCACAGTCCACGATCGCCTTGATCTTCTCACACGCTACATAGGACCAGGCGCACACGACGCCGACAACAATCCACTCCTACTGACATGGGAAACTTATCACGTGCAACACCCCTGGTCCCAACGCACCATGACCACTGAGGAGCTTCAGCGTCATGAAGAGGAAGAAAGGCGCCGCTGCGCGGACGAAGAAGCAAAAGCAGCAGCAGCAGCAAGTAATGGAGGATGGGGGAGCGGAGCAGCCACAGCTGGAGGATGGGGAGGCGACCCAAGCACAACAGGATGGGGGGAGGTCCCACCATCCATCGTGGATGACGAAGAACCTATTGAAGACTTCCTCGCTCGTGCTGAACAGGAGGCAGCAGCAGAAGCAAGAGGACCGTATGGCTCACCACGTCCCCTTGGGATACCTCCAGGCACCAAACCGCAACCTAACTCCTGGGGTTACTCACAGGCATCTTCAGACTCCACAGACTCACGCCCTCCCACTGATCGTGATACCATCCTACCCTACCGCACATATCCCCGCAGTCCACTCCACACTGAAACCACGCCCATTGGCCCCTCAGATTCACCCCCTCCAAGCCCCCCAGCCGAGTTCCACTTACCGCCCCATCACATGCCCCGCCCTCACCTACCAGAAGAAACAGCAGACACAGACGATGCCACAACACCAATTACAGCTATTACCACTGTCACCCCTGCGCTCACCGATCGTGAACTCGTCCTTGCACTCGGCCTCTCTATTTCACCACAGCCCATCCCACAGCCCCCTCCGCACGACATCACTGAACTTATCGCCTTTTACGCACGATCACCTGCTTTGCGCGCCCAACTTGACCTCTGGCACAAACGCCTTGGTCACCCCTCCCAGGAAGTACTTAACAACTGCATCCGCGCACAAGTCTTTCTTCCTGAAACTCTACTCCGCCCAGACGGTACTCCCGTCCCCGTCAACACCTCTCGCCACACTGACTGCACCATCTGCCCTGAAGCTGCCCTCACCCATCAGCCTTTCAAACTTCTTGACCCAGGAACCAACCGCTACGAAAAACTTGAGAAAGTTTACAGTGACTTCCTCGTGCTCACGCAGACTGGACTCAACGGCGAAGAATACACCCTCACCTTCATCGACGCTCACTCCCGCTTCACTTGGGTCGCCAATGTCTCCCACAGGAGCAAGGCGTTCGAAATCTTCAAGGTCTGGCACGCCAATGCGGAGACACAGTCCGGCTGCACGCTGAAACCCTGGCAAACTGACTGCGCAGCAGAGTTCAAAAGCGACAAAATGCAGGCGCTCATGCGGGAGAAGGGCATCATACACAAGCTTTCTCTCCCGTACGCGCATCCCCAGCAGGGCGTCGCAGAACGCACCAACCGCACTCTCATGACCAAGGTCCGCGCACTCCTCCAGCAGAGCGACGTTGACGCGAAGTACTGGCCCTATGCCATGCA